TGAACTGTACATTTTTTCCCTATTTGGCTAATATGCTTAACCAAGGATTTGGTGTTATTACAAAACAGAGTAGTCTCAGCAAATAAATCCTCCTAATATTAGAAAGAAGAAATGAAAACAAAATCTGAAGCCTAAGATCTTTGTCACTGGCAGAAATTCTTTATCTAGTTTTGAATTTATTCATTCATTCAGTTATCTTAAGGGTACTGGTTTGAATGTTTTAAATGTCCAAGGGAACCCTTTGGACAGTTTGGAACAACAATTTCACAGAGGTAGAGTTTTAAAAGAGCATTCAATTTATTGAAGCCATAGTTTTTTCCTCAAGCCTTGAAGTCAAATTTTCAAATTTATTGGTCAGTTTTAAGTATACTAGCATAAAAAATTACTTTTAAACAATCTTTGACTAGTGCTGTATTAATCTCTAAACAAACACAAAAGTCTTCTAAATAATTACATATAGGAAATTAAATTCCATCAAATATTTCAAGGTATATTGCTAAATTTAATGTAATTTATTTTTCCAACCATTTTAAATGCTTGAAATGAAAAATTCACAGCCCTAACATGTAAGTGGCATTTATAAAATACAGTATAGCTATGAATCTTTGTAGCTAGGAAAAACTTTGCTGTCCCTGAGAAACTGGCATTTTTCCCCTTACCACTAAGAATATACAATTATGTTTCTTTATTTGCTCTGGCAGCTAGGAAGCTTAAGGTCAAAATTAAGCTCAGATAAAAAATGTTTACACTACTGATGGTTATATTTGTTTTTCCCTAATATTAGGGGTTATTATTAATATTGCTTCCTCTGGGATACATGTCTCCAGCCCACCTCCCAGTACATTTCATAGTCCATGTTTTAATTTAGGTATTCCAAATATATTTCAAAGTTGATTTTAAAAAATAATTCTGGTTATTTTGCTATAATAGGATAGCTAGTTTCTTTTTATAGATCGTACACTAAAACTTTTTTTTTCAGTGCTAGAGATCAAACCAGGGCCTTACACACATGCTATGCAAGTGCTCTATCACCCCCAACCCTAAAACTTTACATTTCATTGACTCAGTAAGTATACAATGAATGATTAGCATGGGCCAGGCATTTTTCTAGGGGTTTTAGCTTCACGTGTGATTGTTAGGGACAAGTGGGGATGAGGGAGGAAGGATAATATCCTCCTACTGTAAAAGGAAAACAAGTCCACATTTTTTGTAAATAGGATACAGGGTACATTACCCTATGTATATAAATATATTTTATTGAACTATGGAAAATATTCACTTAGGTTGACATTATTATTTTCAAATAGGACTCATCAAAAAATCAGACCTCCCAAATAAAAGACCACATCAAAAACAGGGCAACTGAAATTAACAGACATTTCTGAATAATACAAACAGTCAACAAATACATGAAAAAAATTTTCTACATTTTTGACCATTAGAGAAATGGAAATTAAAACAAAACTGAAATTTCATCCTAGTCAAAAAAGAATGTTATCACCAAGAAATCAAATTGTAATAAATGCTTGAGAGGCTGCAAAGAAAAGGAACCAATCTACATTGTTGGTGGGAATGTAAAATTAGTACAACCACTACAGAAATCAGTATGCAGATTCCTCAAAAAGCTAAAACCAGAAATTCCATTCGACCCAGTTATTCCCCTTGTTGGTATCTTCCCAACAGTATTAAAGACATCATGGGGACAAGGATTTGGCTCAGTAATTCCACCACCTGCCTCACAAGCACAAGGACCCGAGTTTGATCCCTGGTACCACACACACACACACACACACACACACAAAGAATTAAAGACATCATATTACAATGATACATATACATATTTATACAATACATCATAATACCTAAATCTTGGAAATGGCCTGCAGATATGTCTAGCAACAGATGACTGGATAAAGAAAATGTGGTATTTATACACATTGGTATACTACTCTGCTATAAAGAAAGATAAATTTGTAGGAAAATGAAAACATCTTGAGACCATAATGTGAAATAAATCAGAAACACCATCTTAAATATCACATTGTCTCTGTAAGAAATCTAAAATATAATAAAGTGCAAGGAGAAAGATAGACAATAGGAAACATGGAGATAGAGCTTTTGCAAAAGGGAAGGGGATGGAGGGATGGAAGGAGGTGGAAAGAAGGGTAAGGTGATGAAACCATAATTACGTACTAATTACTTTTATATATCATGTACATGTACCAATTCACCACAAGAAATGTACTCAATACATTCTGCAAACACATACTAGTAAGAAAAATAAAATAGAGTTCAAAGTACATTATATAGAATATGTGACAAAAGACAAAGGATAATAAATTGGGGCAGTATAGTAACGATGCAGATGATATGTTAAAGTTTAATATTATAAAATAATTTCAACTCCTAAAATTGATGAGAGAAATATAAACAATACTATAGGAAATAAGAGAGACAAGGATATGAAAGGTAATATTATGCAGCGAGAAATGCTAACCTACCTATCCTAGTAATAATAATAAAAATGAGGGGGTAGTTACATAAACTCATAAAACTGAGGGTAGCTCAGTGACAGAGCATGTGCTTGGCATTCACGAGGCCCTAGGTTTCATTCCTAGCACGGCAAAAAGAATTTTTAAAAGGATAAGTAATATTTATTATTTGCTTATTTATTAATTTTTGCCGGGTGCTGGGGATGGAACCTAAGACCTTGTACATACTAAGTATGTATTCTATCATTGATCTAAACCCCTAGCCAGATAGCTAACATTTAATAAGAGCTTACCAGAGACTATTCTAAGAACTTTTAATCTTACTCAGTTCTTGAAACAGCCCCATGAGATGTGAGCATTACCATTTTAACTGTTTTATACATGAAGGACTGAGGCTCAGAAGGGTTAAAGTCATTAGCCAACCCTGCACTTTTACTAAGGACATACTAGAATATAAATCCAAGTATTTTGATTCCAGGGCTTAGACTCCTTAAATAAAAATTCAACAAAAGATTCCTTCATTAATAAAAAACATAATAAATTGAATATATGGAATTGGCATGCTTTAGAAAGTTATAATTGCAAACAATTGAGCTTTTATGTTCTATATTTTATTGATTATTTAATTGATTGATTGATTGTAGTACTAAGGATTGAATCCAGGGCTTCACAAATGCTAGCCAGCACTCTTACCACTGAGCTATACCCTCAGCCCTTTAATTTTTTTGAGATAGGGTCTTGCTAATTTGCCCAGGCTAGTCTCAAATTTATCATCCTCCTGCCTCAGCTTCTCCAGTAGCTGGGACTGAAGATATGTACCATTATAGCATCCAGCTGTGCTCTATATTTTAATCATCAACTTTTCACAGTCTTAAGGTAATTAATTTATCTGTTTCACCTTTTACAATGTCCAAGTATCTTTCATTTTATGAAAACAATAAGCTACATTATACTCCCTTGATTTATAAACTGATATAAAATATCAAATGGGTGATGTTTATACTATACTTCAATAACTGCTGATAGCCATTAATTGCACCCTGATATGAATTAACGATAAATATAAATGGGCCCAAATCAGAAACTATACATTTAAAAATCATGAATTCATTGTTTTGAGGTTTTACAATAACATGGTAGGAAAGAGGTAAGTGTACATGACAAATAGCAATGGCAACTCTTGCTGGCAAACAGTCTGAGTTTTATCTGTATTTCTTAGTTGGCAGTGTCAGTTACACTTGACAATTCCAGTTACAAACACTATTTATAATTCTTAAAGGGCCTGCACACATTGTTACCTTTTACCTATTTTTATGTAAATGTTCTATACTTTGGTCTCAATTATCTTACATTAAACTTCTAAACTTCCTTTGCTTCCTGAAACAGTCATTATTGATTAAGAAGTTTATTTTTAATTAATGTAATTTTATATAGTACTAGGGATTTATGATGGTACCAACTATGCAAGATTTTCCAAATGTACTATGGAAGCCACTTGTTCTAAATGAAATATGTTCAATGAACTGGTATCTAATTCCTGGTTGGCTACATTCTCAGTCAGTGCACTTGGGGCAAAGGTGGATATTAAACTTTAAACCCTTTCTAGTTTGCAGCCTTTCTAAACATTTTCCTATCTACTTCCCAAATATCAAATTATTATAGGCAGCTAAGTTAGATAGAAATTAATATACAGTTAGAGAGGGACTGATCTGTCAAGGAAGTCAGTGAAAAATAAAGACATCAGAATTGTGGCTGGAGGCACATTGGAGAAGGCCGGGCCTCAAGATAAAGATGCAGTGTCCTAGGGTGGGGATTTAGCTCAGTGGCACTGCACCTGCCTCACAAGTGCAAGGTCATAAGTTCGATCCCTTGTACCAAAAAAAAAGATGCAATGGCTAAGCCTACATGCCTCCCTAAGCAATAAATTATAACTTGAGATTGCACTGTAATTAGCACTATATGTTCTAGTAAGTCCAGAAAGTAAGTCCAGAGCATCCAGACCCATGCTTTCCCTAAAATACCTTTGTTCTTTTCATGTACCCTTGCTACTCCTTGGCCTGGCTTTGCCATCCAAGAGCTAAGGGCTTGCCCTGGGGGAAAAGGAATATTCATTTTATCAAGATTATATGTGGCATTCAGACTTATTGGTTGAAAGAGTGGTCTATTGAGAAATGCCAAGACCTAGAAAGTAGGGACCAGCAGATACTGTATATCTGAAAGAAACTTGTGAAGCACTTCAACAGCATTTTTCCAAATGCTGAGAGTTTATGTAGATGTGTAGAGTAATACAAAAGAGACCTGCTGGAATTCTAGACTTCTGCAGTTTAAACAGAAATAGGAAATTCCTGCTCTTAAAGAAGGACTGCTGTCATAGGAGAGTCAATAGGATACCAGTATTTCAAACTCACGGGCTGACATTAGAAGTTTTTGAAAGGCAGGATGGGGGAAGAAGTAGAGAACACCACAGACAAGAAGACTATATCTTTCCTGAGACATTGTTTCACTTACCAGAGTTGGCAGATATTCCTTCAAGTTGGCAGATATTCATTCAACTGATATCCACTGATTGGACTCTAAAAGGTGTTACTTTTAGACTACTGTCCAAGTTTCTTCCTTGATCCCAACATAATTTCATCACCCTCTGGATCTCTACCAGCACCTGCAGAGTAATGTATCATACTGCTTTAAAGTCCTGGCAATGTTTGCTCTGAGTAGTCAGTGCTCAATGTTGTTAAACATTTACAATAAAAGTGTAAAGTTGCTTTCTTCTGTGTGTACACACTGGGTCATGATGCAAAATATTTTACTCCTATGTGTCCTAATCTAAGAGTTGGAAAGTCATTCTGTGGGCAGCATGAATATAAGAAAGTTTGTAAGGCTAATTTCCTCCTCAAGGAAAAGACCATCTTTGGCAGGCCTGAAGCTGAGAATTTTGTCGAATTTACTTATCACAATATTTTTAAGACAGTAAGGAAGACTTTATTCAAGGGGAGACTAGAGAGACAAGTAGAAAGACCACTGCACTGAGGTCTTGCAAAGAAAAGAGAGACTAGGCTCCATTCTTAATAGAACAAGTAGAGATCTGTAGCCAAGAAGACCAGTGATGTCAGTGGACAGAAAATTACTAAGAGCAAATATCCAGGGTAAAGGGAAATTCTGGCTGAACTGATTTGACAGATTATTACTGAAGGTAGGCCAGAGTGATAAGATATCAAGGATGAGGGATGTGGGGTTTTGGTCCGATATCCAGATGAGGGATTTTCATCAGTATTCATGGTAAAATTGGACTAGACAAGCAAAGCCACTAGATTCAGGATAGACCCTAAGGTTAGGACTGGTCAGAAAGAGGACTCAGAGGACTCTGACTCAAGTTTCATCAAAGGGCAATTTTTATCAGTAATGATATCTACACCATAATTGTTTTCATCTATAGTAGTGATATAGAGCTTCTTGTACTAAATTGTTAATCACCGAAGCAAACTGGTTTAAAGAAAATAAATCATAGTATAGGTAGTGCATAGCTTAAATTACGAAGGTGGTGTGGGAATGACAGTACTCTTAAAAATGTCTAATTTATATGGATAACAAAATGATGGTGACCACTAAGAGTGATTAATGTGTCACTGATCCTAGGTCTCACTGTTCAGCCAGTCTTAATCAGCTCAGTCTATATAACAAAATACCATAAATTAGGTATTTTACGGACAACAGAATTATTTTGCACAGTATCATAGTGCTGGAAGTTTGAGGTTCTTATGAGGGTCCTCTTGCGGGTCGCAGACTGCCCACTTCTGGTTATATCTTCAAGTGGAGGAAAGCAGAGCATAGGAAAGCAAGTTCTCTCCTGACTCCTCTAAGAAGCTTTTTTTTTTTTTTTTTTTTTTTTTTTTTTTTTTTTTTTTTTTTTTTTTTTTTTTTTTTTTTTTTTTTTTTTTTTTTTTTTTTTTTTTTTTTGGTACCAGGGTTCGAACTCGGTACTTTGCTCTTGCAATTGCAAGGCAGGTGAGTCAGGCAGTGGAACCACTGAGCTAAATCCCAGGCCCTCTCCTAACTCTTCTAAAACCACTGATCCCACTCATAAGAGCTCCACATTCATAATGTTAACTAATCCTAATGATTTCCCAAAGACCCTACATCCTAATACCATCACAGTGGAGGAAGAGTTATAGTTTCAACATATAAATGGGGGGGGGCACACATTCAGTCCACAGCACCCAGCAACTTGAAGCTCTTGGTCTACCACAAAAGCAGGGCTTGTAACTATGTCACCTGGATATCAGTATTTCCACTCACCTGTAGGGTGCCAACCACTTAGGACACCATAGATCTACAGTGAATGACCTATGGTTCAGAGACAATGACATTACCTCTGAAGCAGGTTTTGTACAGTAAGAAAACCACAAGGAATGCTTCAATCCATGAGACTGAAAAATGTCTTCCTTAATTCTTCATGGTGAACTGTGTGTGGGTGTAGGATACACTGTGTATCTGTTAATGTAAGAAGGACCTGAACTTCTGAGCTTTCCATATTGTACGTGCATATGCGTATTTGTGTGTGTGTGTGTGTGTGTGTGTAACAGTTATTTAAGGCTCTCCAGCTCATTTTGTAAGATGGAGCAGACAGTACTATGTCTTTATTTCAATTGCTTTGTCTCATCACTACATGTCTTTGTCATCAACCCATGTTACAATTACTTTAACAAGCAAAGGAAATGCCAATCAAGTGCAGCATTTGGGACCTCCTCGCCCTTGCAACGTTGTCAGATCTCAGTCAAGAGACAAAAAAACGCCCAAGGCTGCATATGAAGGCCGGGTAAAAAGAAAGTAGATGGATTTAAACCTGGGTAAGGACACAGTATTTACATTAGGGGTTCACTAACACCTTTGCTACATCTAATCAGACATTGGTTATACTCCGTGGCATCATCTTCATTTCACTGACTTTGGAGGAATGCTGGGGACAGACCAGTCAAGTGCATTGGCTAAGAAAATGAGTTTGAGTGGCTAGATGTGAATTCCACCTGCCCAGAAGCTTATACCAGAACTGTGGCAGGGGTGACCCACATGGGGCTGGGCTTTTCTTTGCCTGGAGAACCTCATGACACTGGGCAGAGTGAGAAGTTCGCAACCACTCCGACTCTCTGGCTACACACGGTGCAGTCCTAGAAGGCGGGTCGCTGACCAGCACCAACAGCCGGCCACAGAGACAACAAATAAAAATGGAAGATCCTTGTCTGTGGGAAAACAGGCCTCGCGCTTGACGCGGGGGTGAGTGGGGGCTGGAGTAGAAGGTGAGCAAAGAAAGGCAAGATGCAGACGCTGCTTCAAGAAGCGGGGTTCATTCAAACCCGGAGGACAGCAAACCCCGCCTCTCCACGCCGCCGCCCGCTCAATCGCCGAGCGCTCTGGGCGTGAGCTC